GTAATACGACAAACCAATAGGATATATATATATATATATATATATATATATATATATATATTTAAAGCTGTTAATTAATTATAAGAGTGTTAAAATGAAAATTGGAATTGATTTTTCTCTTGCCCTAACTAGTAATTATTGTTTAGTATTTCTGTATGATTCTAATACATCAAATTAACTTTGATATATGTATACATAGACATCGACACACATGCATGCACCTCTGATATAGAGAAATGTTAAAAAGTTTTACACATCGAAATTGTTATGCCACTCTTATATAAGACCTTAATGAGAATTAAAGTCCATTAGTAAAAGAACTAATTGAGAAAATCACACTTGTTTAATTATGAGCGTTTTTTCATGGTTAGTATATTATATTGAGTTATAAAAAAAAATTAGATTGAGTTATACTACTCGAAAACATAGTATTAGTTTATATTTAAATAACAAAGTATTAATTAGTGATCTTCATATATAAGAAAGATGTGTAATTATGCCTATTTGTTCAGTTAGACAAACATCTGAAACTTTTTAATTATCCACTCCAAAAGAAAATAATAATATACAGTAGAATGTATAAATTAGTTGTATTTTAATGGATATATGTATATATATATATATATTAATTAATTACCTCCTTCAAATGTTCTTGATGTACTCTTTCTGCTTCGTTGTTACTACGCATCTCATCTTTAAGCTCCCTGATAGTCTTGAACCATTTTATATCCCAATCCTATTTTATAAAAATAATCTGTTAATTATATATATCAAAGAGTATCCTCAAAATGAAACAGTTTTTACCTTCTTCTGTTCTTTATTTTTCGCTATTGCTTCTTCGATACGAGCAATTTCAGCCTCAAGCTCACGAAGCTTAGCAACTGTAATACCCATTTCTTGATTTGGTTGTTTGAACAAGCTTAGCAACTGTAATACGATATTTTTCTTTGCTCTTGTTCTCTTTATGTTCTTCTTAATGTTTTGATCAGTATGGTTTATATAGAGAATTATAGAATGCAGTATGTGTGTTAAGTGTTGGTAAAATGCATTAAGTTATGTTATTCCGTGTTGATGTTGTTTCTTCCACACACAAAAGTCTTCGATAATTTTACCATTTTTATTTGGCTTTTTGTTTGAGACCACAACTTTTTCGATTAGGAAACTCTTAATTACTAAGTTTAGTACTAAGTTTGTATGTATTTCCTCTTTATTACATCCATTAGATCCAAGCCACCGACTCAAATTCTCAAAAGCTTTACTTCTGCAAATGTAATGTGCGTAGACATATACACATACACGTTTCTTAAACTTTCTATAAATACATAAATATTCAGACTTTACATTTGAAAACACGCCATGCTTTACAAACCATAACCTTTAATTTAGTTGAAATTTTTCATATATATATTTTTAAAATTTCTTTAAAAATCAGTTTTACCATAATATAATTTACACATTTGAAAACACGTTATAAGCTTTTTTATTCCGAATGTATGGCTATGATTGTGAAGAAGAAGAAATTTCAATTCATCTTTAAATGTATATTCTTCTTAATTATTACATTTTTTTCTTGAAACTTTGAATACAATTATTTATTTGATATATTATTATTTGAATTTTTGTTTAATTTGTTAAGAATAAATTTCAAATTTACGACGTAACTAAATAAAAAAGATTTCATAATTTTTAAAACTTTGTAAGACAATCCATATTAAAAAAAAAAAATCAATATGGATGTTGTAACAATTATTTCAATTTTGATTATTTTTTGGGTTTAAAACGATTGTGATACACATTGTGATCATTATATAACAGTTAATTTTCATTTTCTTTGTAGTAATACATGAATAACTTACAAAGAAAATTTACCAATACGTACACCTTTACACTTTCTATAACTAAATAAACATGTAACCTAACTACTTAAGAATGTAAAGGCGCTAAACATAGTAGAGGCATGCCTTAATACGTTATTGGACAATACATAAAACATAGTAGAGGCTCGATAACACTAATTTTTTTATTATTCAAGAATACTTCATTAACATACATAAACTATTTCAATAAGTAAAGAAGAAATGGAAGAATATAATATTTTACCATTTTTTACATGGCTTTTTGATTAAGACCACAATAAGTTTCTCGACTAGGAAACTCTTATTTTACTACGTTTACTACCAATTTCTTCTTTTTTTCATCTGTTAGATCAACACCGACTCAAATTTTCAAAAGCTTTAGTTCTGCAAATGTAATATGTGCGTAGACATATACACATACACGTTGATTTAGTCCCAGATATAGATTGTGATTATCATGTTTTTGGTGGAAAGATTGTGATTATCATTATATAAACATGTCGTTTCTTTATAGCCATGTTTTTTTGTAATACATGAATAACTTTAGGTGTAGCATTTACACATACACGTCTTTAAAATTTCTATGGCTAAATAAAATTTCACAATTTACATAGTTGAAGACACCTCATAATGGTTTTATAATTTCTTTCCATAGAGTTAAGTAATAAATTGCATCGTAGTGAGTACTAAATTGCACAATATCTACTCAGTGATGCCTTTACTGAAGTAATACAGAATTGAATTTTCTCTTGCCCTTATCAAACTATACTTACTAATTGTTCATTAGTTTTGTATGATTCTAGCTCATCAAATTATCTAACTTAGCATACATTAAATATTTCAAGAAGTTTGGAATAAATGGAAGGATAATGTCTTTGATTATATAGAGAAAATATAACCATCGGAACGAAGTACCACTCTCTTTTATATCTAATTAGTGCCTCGTTTTAAGAAAAACAAAAGTCAAAAACCATTTGAAGAAATCTGTTTAATTATGAATTTTCTTCATAATTAGTATATATATATATATATATATTAGTCGAAAGAGAATAGAAGAGGGAAACATTATCAATTATTTAAGATTAATAATTCATTTATTGAAAACAAAGATATATGACATGACAAACCATATATTCATTGTCCCAGTAAGACTTAAATCAAATTATTTCATTGAAGGTTTTTAAGGTTGAAAATAAACGACAATAATATAAAAATTACTAATAATTAATTACTTTCTGTATTTTCTACGATCCGAATCCGATCAAGCTTTATTCCTTTATTTAGAAGAGGACGCATCATCTAGTTTCTTGGTTAATTCCTAAAATTTCAATAATCCGATTAGCATTTTTAATTAGTTATCCACTCCAAAAGAAAGTAAGAATTAGCATATATCATGTATAAATTAGTTGCATTATTATAAATAATTAAGAGCATTTAAACGGATATATATATTTTACCTTCAAACGTTCTTCCATTTCCTTTTTTTCTTTTTCGTTACTACGCAACTCAGCTAGAAGGTCGTAGAGTTGTTGTTTTTTCCCATCCTATTTTATATAAAATAAATCTGATTATATATATTTTGTACATGCAAAAAAATGGTAATATATATATATATATATATATATATATATATATATATTAAGTATATATATAGTATATAGTAGTAGT